CCCACCAAACTCAGAGATCTAAATGCTTTTCACAAATGAGTATTCAATGCAAAATTGTTGTCTTTATCTTTAACTAACAAAACAGTCCAGTATTTGGAAACCTTTCATTTCTTATCATGATTTTGACCATGACAAGTCAAATTGAGAGAATATAGGTTGCTGGTTAGGACCATGGGACTTTTTTCTTACTCATTGAGCTTCCAGCTCAGCCACATTCTGACTGTGTGGCCTCAACCTCACTTGGTCTCCACAGAAAGTATTTTAAATATACTCTTTAACACAGGTTTGTCAAGACAGTGTTTTATAGATAAGGAACTTACTGCTTGAATTGTTTTAAGCATTAAATAATTTCTTGAATGGTACTTTGATCCCCCTCTCTAAATCTATGCATTTAAACATTTCCTGACGGAAGATTATCTTTTATTATTGGACTGTTTTCAAAGATATACTTAGAAGACCAAAAAAGAAGAAAAAATGGCATAAATGCTGACCTTCAGTTGTTTATTCCTCTAAAAGTTGCATGCTAAATGTGTTCAGAGTCCATGGATGGCCATAAGCCATGCCTTAAATTTATAAAGCAGTTATTTCATGATTCTGAGTCAGTGCACAGTGTTGCTTGAAAGTTAATAAAAATCAGAAACACACAGACCCCAAAATGCTCAGCTGCTAGCTTTAACTAGAAGAGTGCAGTTCTAATTGTTAGTTTTCTGCCCTTACTGTCATTCTTGGTTAGAAAGCTCAGTGTTTGGAGAGGCACTAAATATTTGTTAGTGTCCTGTTTCCTAATGGCCTAGCAAGAGTTATAGGGCCACACACAGCGGGGTGGTGTTTTTCATGTACCTTCCAATTTTCCTTTTTAGATTGCTTTTCTTGGCCTCACTTCTCATGAGAGAACCAGCCTGCTGAAGCAGAGCAGGCATATGAAACAGACTCTGTCCCTCTGGAGGACCCCCTATAAGTAAGTAAGGTGCACTCGTCAGTAGGTCCTGTGGAAGATTTTAGCCCAGCCACTGCTTGTCCGACCTAGTGACCCCACTTACAGCTGTACTTCTCTTCCAGAAATTGTAATCTGTCAGGGTTACCCAAAGCCTGTCTTCCTTGTAAATGCCAGTGACCAAAGGATGTGGGTGGTAGGACCATAGATAATACCCTATGGTCATGATCCTCAAGCTAACAAAAATTTGGGACTTAGTCTGCTGGACTCAGCACAAATAGTAAGTGCCTTTGAAGTTTTACCAAGATGGGCATTCTCTCCAGTTAAACCACATGGTCACAAGATTGCATATTACTGGCATGTCGTCAAGGTGAGATAATCAAGCACTTGGCTGGCGCCCTGTAAAAAGTGGTAGGTTGTGAGCTTTGTCAGGACTGTCAGCCTTGCATTCAGCTCTCTGGTTAGTGTGCCCACCTGTTTCAGGGAGGAGCAAGTTATTCGGATTTGTGATATTTTCCTCGCCAGAACATTGGTAGTATAAGGCCTGCGCTAAGTTAAAATTGAGAGCATTTATAGGAAGGCCATCATTTCATGATACAAAAGATCAGGCTTTGACACTTATCTCCCGGCCACGTTCTATTCGGGTCGTGAAGCCTATGAGTGCTACTGAGGGGACCCAGAACCCTCCTGTAGGGATCTGGACACCTACCAAATATCTCATCAGCAGTTTCTTTTAAAGTGTGCTTATGGCACAAGATAAAACTGTTAGGCTGCTAGACAAAGAAATCCGAGCCTGGGATATGAATACTGTGTGCAGTTAGAGAGGAGGGAAATCTGAGCCTGGGATATGGATACAGTGTGCAGTTAGAGAGGAGAAATCCGAGCCTGGGATATGGATACACGTGCAGTTAGAGAGGGAGAAATCCGAGCCTGGGAT